AAGTAAGTGGACTTCAAAATTGCGTTTGAAAAATGCAGTGAGAACTGACGAGAGAGTTCGTTTGATGTCCGAAATAATCAGTGGTATACAAGTTATCAAAATGTACACTTGGGAAAAACCATTTCAGGAACTAGTTAATTGCATGAGAAAGTTTGTACTATATTTCTCTTGCGGTTTCGTTATCATAACAGAGAAATTTAATGTAATAAGCACATAATTTTATATCTAGATATGAAATCGATGTCCTTACATTAATGTCATACCTAAGAGGTTTCACCTTGGCCACATTTGTCTTCACGGAAAGAACAACGTTATATTTCACTATCATGGCTTATGTACTATTCGGATATTCGATATCTGCAGATAAAGTATTCTCAATGGCACAATACTTTAACATTCTTCAATTAACTATGGCAATATTGTATCCTCTAGCTGTTGCATCTGTTGCCGAAACAGCTATATCTATAAAGAGAATTGAAGTAAGATAAACTTATCAGATTGTGATGAAAAAATATTTATCAAATCAGACACATTGCACGAATCTATCATCATTTTCTTAATTGTATGTGTATCATATAAATATTATATATTTCAATATACAGATATTATTTGTAAATATTATTTTTGAAATGGTAATTTTGTAGCACAATTATATTTTCAGATAAGAATGTTTCAATATTTCCATATTTGCCTTAATGCGCGTAACAGTTTATATCAATTATTACTATTAATAAATAATAATGTTTTTTCAATAGAACTTTCTCTTATTAAATGAAAACATTTCATTGGTACAATCACTGTCAGTTACTAAAGGAATAAGTATCTTAATGAAAAACGTTAATGCTTCATGGACAACCACTGCAATTGTGAATACATTGCATAACATTAACATTGAAATTGGAACTGGAAAACTTTATGTTATTGTTGGTTCTATAGGCGCAGGAAAGGTATATATTTTTTGTATAATATATATATATCATAATGTGTGTATGAAAAAATGTTATAACATTCATTTAAAAAAGAATATTTGTCTAATTTTCAGAGTTCTTTCTTGCAAGCCATTTTAGGCGAACTGAAACCATCGCATGGCCAGATATATATAAATGGCAAAATATCGTACGCTAGTCAAGAACCTTGGCTGTTTGCAGGCACAGTACGAAATAACATTTTATTTGGTAAACCCTATAATAAAGATAAATATCAAACAGTTGTTAAGGTATGTGCTCTTGCGAGAGATTTTGAGCAACTTCCGTACGGTGATAAGACCTTTGTCGGTGACAGAGGTACAGCGCTTAGCGGCGGCCAACGTGCGAGAATTAATTTGGCGAGGTAAATTTGCATTCAGTTATGTGCGGTGTGTTTTATATTCTAACAAAATCTCTGTTCTTATAGAGCCGTTTATAGAGACGCTGATATTTATCTTTTCGACGATCCCCTATCAGCTGTCGATACTAATGTTAGTAAACATTTGTTTGATGAATGCATAAATAATTACTTACAAAATAAAACAAGAATTCTCGTGACTCATCAATTACAATATTTGAAACAATGCGACTATATTATTATTCTAAATAATGTACGTATAAAATATTACTTTATATATACACATATACATTTATAACTATTATAAGTATACAAAATACTGAATGACTTTAATTTATATTATTTTTTAAAAAAAGGGTCAAATTGACAATGAAGGCACATTTATGACTCTTCAAAAAAAAAAGGCAAGCTTTTTAGAAATCTTATCAAGAAGTGAAGAAGTTAACGAAGAGACGAAAGAATCATTAAAAATTGATACAAATCTTACATCTGAAATAATACAAAATAATAATGTTAACAATGAAGAAGTAGATGAGGTCGAACCTAAAGAAATCGAAGAGCTTCTGGCCAAAGGAAGTTTATCAAAATCGCTTTACTGGAAATATATTCGTAGTGGCGCGTCGATCATTATGATCGTTATCTTTCTATTTTGCATGATTTTGGGACAAATTGGAAGCAGTGGTTGTGACTATTGGCTCGGTTATTGGTAAGTTTCTACGAAGAGGGGGGTGTATTCTATTGTTGCATGAATGAAAATAAGTTTTATAATGCAGGACGAAACAGGAAGAAATGCGTGTAAAGGCTATGCATGAATGGCAGTATAATGTAACGAACAATTTTACAATTTTATCTTATACACCGAGATCTATTAGACAAATGGACAATACCTCAGAGACGAATAATAAATTCATTGAAGTTTCGATAATCACAGATTATTGGAAATTTCGATCCAATAATACTATATTGCCACAAAACTTTACTTCCGATAATATCGTTAGTATTTCAATCATATTTTTATGATGTAACCAATCTTGCAAACATTCATAAATCTCTTTTGCTACTTCATTTAGACCAAAATTATGGATACGGATTTTTACTCTCTTGACACAAATACAGCCTTATGGATCTACGGAGGTTTTATCATTATTAGTGTTGTAATGACAACGTGCCGAAATCTGATCTTTTATAAAATATGTATGAATGCCAGCAAGAACCTGCATAACTTCATGTTCTCATGCTTACTCAAGGCGCCCATGTCATTCTTTGATAATAACCCGTCGGGTAAGCATATTTTATCAATGATTATGATTGATGTGTAACGCAACGATTCGAATTTCATATTTTTAGGTCGAATTTTGAATCGTTTCTCGAAGGACATTGGCGCTGTGGATGAAATTTTACCTAGGACTACGATAGAAGCCATTCAAATTTTTGCAGTAATGATTGGAATTTTAATACAAGTATTTATTATCAATTGGTGGATCATATTCCCTACAATCATTTTGGGAATTTTGTATAATGAGATAAGAAAGATTTATATTCCAACAGCACAGACTATAAAACGATTAGAGGGAAATGGTAAAAGTTTCTTTTTTTCTTCTTTGGAAGAATATAAAATCTTATTCATATTCTCTAAACTAACATCTATTTAATTAAATTTTTAGCGAAGAGTCCCATTTTTTCGCATGTCAACTCCACATTGTCAGGTCTAACAACAATACGTTCTGCTGGTGCTCAGGAAATAGTTCGTAAACAATTCGATGAACACCAGGATTTACACACTAGTACTTACTCGTTAATTGTCACAACTGCTACAATGTTCGGTTTTGCGCTAGATATAGTGACTATTGGTTTCATCGCCTTCGTTACATTTAGTTTTGTCGCGTTGGACGACGGTAAATCTTTGTCGCAATTACTAACGAATGCATATATAAATATATTCAATACGATATAATATTTACGAATTAAGTTTTTTTATTTCTCTCTTTCAGGAAATACCTTCGCTGGGAATGTCGGTTTAGCAATTTCTCAAGTACTCATTTTATGTGGTATGATGCAACATGGAATACGTCAAACAGCCGAAACTATCACGCAGATGACAAGCGTGGAAAGAATATTACAATTCACCGAGCTCGAAAAGGAGGGTCCGTTCGAAAGTAATCCCATGGATAAACCACCGAGTAATTGGCCCGCCAAGGGAGAGATTAAATTCGATTGTGTTTCTCTTCGATATGCCGAATCAGAGCCACCCGTCCTTAGATCTTTGAGTTTCATCATAGAACCGGGCATGAAAGTAATCACGTAATTATTTATTATCGAATCAAATTCCATTTGTTACAAACGATAATCTTATTTATATATCATACAATATTCTTCAAGTTATTCTAAATAATTTTAAACTATTCTAAATAATTCTAAATATTCAGATTGGAATAGTGGGTCGCACTGGAGCTGGGAAATCTTCTCTAATTTCCACTTTGTTCCATATGACGAAATTCGACGGTACTATTTACATCGATAACGTTAACACGAAGAAGATCGGTCTTCATGATTTGAGAAACAAGATCTCCATAATACCACAGGAACCAATGTTATTCTCCGCTACGCTAAGAGAGAATCTTGATCCCTTTCGTAAATTTCATGACACCGATCTGTGGAGTGCCTTGGAAGAGGTGGAACTAAAAGACGCGATGGCCTCCTTAGACCATGGTATCGAACACGGTGGCAGTAATTTAAGCGCTGGACAACGACAATTGATTTGTCTGGCGCGCGCTATTTTACAAGATAATAGAATTCTCGTGCTCGATGAAGCCACCGCGAATGTTGATCCTACGACGGACGCGCTTATACAAACTACGATCCAGAATAAGTTCAAAGCTTGCACGGTATTGACAATAGCGCATAGATTGAATACAATAATGGATAGCGATAAAGTACTGGTAATGGATCATGGTCAAATGCTAGAATTTGATCACCCGTACGTTCTATTACAAAATGAAAAGAGTCACTTCAGTGCTATGGTACAAGAAACTGGAAAGTTGATGACTGAACAACTTAAACAGTGTGCCAAAAAGGTAAATTAATTGCTATATTGCTCTATTATTTACTTGCGATTGAATATAACTAAAAAGATATATTAATGTATGATATTTCATTTACAGGCTTATGAGTAACAGCATAAATTCACATAATTTCTTGTGAAATTAAGAATTAAGAACGTTTCTTTATCAAAAACAAAGAAAATTTACTTATTTATTTTTTTACTTAATTTTTTAATCCAAGAGATTTTAAAATTCTTTTATTTTAATCTTTCAGCAATAATAACTTAGTAAATCCGGTTTTAAATATTTAATCATTTAAAATATGTTTGTACTTATTTCTACATATTTATGTAGCCTGAAAGTGTGATATTCCAAAAAAAATGCACTTATCTTTCTTACAATTTTGCCTTACAATAAAATTTTTATCATACATTATATAACTAATATCTTATCAAAATATAGGAAAAGATCTCAACAATGTCTACATCACTATTTAACCATTTAAGTACTGAAGAATCTAGAAATTTTTAATAAAAATCATTTTATCTTTTAGTATAATAATACTCTATAATTATAGTTATATTATTAACTGATTATATATAAAGTTTAATTAGGAAACAAAAGAATGGTATATTTTTCAAACTTTATATATTTTTTACATATACTCCTGTATATCTTGTGATATTCAATTAATTAAAATAAGTCTTAATGTTAGATGTATATCATGACAAAGTACAGAAGAATTTATATATGTATATTGAAATTTTATATATGTATATATGAATAAAAATTTATATTCTCTACAAAAAAGAAAGATATCACAACCTTTGTCTGTTGACTTTGTTTCCCTTTGATTTAAGAATATTAAATCAACTGTACCACACCCGACTTAACTAAGTGTGCTATAGCACTATATTGAATAATATGCTGTGAACCTTCCTCAAAGTCTATCTCTTCATTCAGCGTGCCAGGCACAACTACACCCGTAACTCTTCGATTGGCACGCAGAAATACATGCGCTTGCATATTGGGTTTAACAGTAAACTTGTTTACCTCGAATCGCTGAAAGTTAGGCGGCATGTGCTGCAACGCTACTGTCTTAAAGAGCGTTTCCAAATTGGCCAGGTACTCCTTGGCGAAACGCAGCTCGCCCGGTGTCAGATAAGATTTCTCATCCGAGTTTCTGTTTTCCTCCTCTGATAAGATGTGAATTGTGTATCGTTCGATTTTCTCCAAGCGTGTTCGCAGATAGCTGCTAATTACATATCTGATCCGATCAAGCTCCATCCGATGGACGAGCGCACGTAAATCACTCTTGTCTAACCTCTTGACGTTCTCCTCCATGTGCGCGATTTGCTGCAGCATGCAGTCCACCAGGTCAGATTGATGCGGCAAGATCTCCGGCGCGAATATCTCGTTCATCCAGGCGTTTTCGATTTCCTGGAGTACCATTTGCGCTGTCAGCTCGGCCTCCTCGTTGTCGTCCAATAAATTCTCGTCCCCGAGATTCTCTTCCATGGCTATCGATAATGCTATTTATATAAAAATAATAGCACGTTCTTTATTAGAAAATTATATGTACATACCTGATGTATTGATTTTCTTCGAGATTTGTTTTTTATATAGATCATCACGTTACTATTGTTGATCCATCGCATGCGACATAAGGCGCGCTAACCGCTAAATTCTCGGGCCATTTTGAATATACCTAGTCTTCGAATTTCCCACGAGATCACGTGGATTATCTCGAACTCGTAATTATCGTTACTTTTGCGTTCGAATCGATTACGTTTGAATTTAATTGCGTACGCATATGTGCAGTTGGAATAATAAAGATAAAATTCTTTTTTTTATGTCTATTATTTTTAAATAAAATAATCTCTGTATATATTATATACGTGTTATTTTTCTTTGTATGCTTATGTACGTATATATTTCTGCGTAATTACTAATTAAGCCCTGAAACCAAAACAATGATTTGTAATTAAGACAATTGTTCGTTATACTAAAATCGAAATTCTTTAATAACTAAAAAATTTGTTAAGGCGTAATAGAATTTTTATAATTGTCCATTGTAGTCAATCAGTCAAGATGCAGCAGGTGCCTCCGCGGGCAAATTTTCATGTTCTATTCTTGTATTACACCTTCGTAAGGTTTCTGTGTATAACACTCAAGATACTCTCAAGGTATTCCCAAATCCTGTGTAATTTAATAGAGAACTTCTTAAGACTGTTTGGCGACTTAGAAAAAGGCGCTCTATATAGTACAACAAAGACGTAAGTTCGCGATGCGTATTTAAGGGTGGCTCCTCGTCGCGGCGGACCCCGAGCCGCATCTCCGACGGTGAACCGAACAGGGAACTCTTCCTGCGAGTTTCACGGAAAAGACGTTGCCGGGAACCCACGACCGGCAATAACAATTCAGCGATAGCAATAGCGATTCAGCATTTGGATTAGTTCGTTCACCACAACGATTTTTTCCAAATACACGAATACAGGTGAGCCATGTAGCGTCGATTTACCTTCACACACATCCGGATCTCTATTTCCCGTGTACATATATCGATATGTGATTATCTATATTTAAAAAAGTAAAAATTCTGAAAAGATTCTCTCTTAAACTTTCTCTTACATTAGATATCTTCGTTATTCTTTCGCCCGTTTTAATTGTCAAGCAAAATTGTCAAATACTACACGTCTCAAGGGCAATTAATCGACATCAAGAAATTCTCGCAGTTGATCATGATGATGTCTCTCGCATCTGGACCAAGCCATGCAGCCTACACGTGGGGGGCGCAAGGAGGCGGATTTGGTAATCAAACAGTGGTGGACAAAGTGCCACCGGAGATGCTCCATCTGATCGACGCTCATTGGTACCAATTCCCACCGATGAACCCACTATGGCACGCGCTTCTCGGCTTTGTCATCGGTATCCTCGGCATGATATCCGTTATCGGTAATGGCATGGTGGTATACATATTCACCACTACCAAGAGCCTCCGTACTCCAAGCAATCTGCTCGTCATCAATCTCGCCATTTCCGACTTTCTTATGATGTTATGCATGTCTCCGGCTATGGTGTGTATATCGTTCTGAAACGTTTCCGTGAATAAAATATCTAGAGGAGAAAGCGTGATTTGTTAAATCGTTTAATCAACGAACTATGCGCAGGTGATCAATTGCTATTACGAGACGTGGGTGCTAGGACCCCTGTTCTGTGAACTATACGCCTTGGCGGGCTCCCTGTTCGGATGTGGCTCCATATGGACGATGACGATGATCGCATTCGATAGGTACAACGTAATCGTCAAAGGCTTATCTGCCAAGCCAATGACTATTAACGGCACCCTTCTTCGTATATTTGGCATCTGGTTCTTCTCACTGGCTTGGACAATCGCACCTATGTTTGGGTGGAATCGGTGTGTGGGACAAATCCTAAACTAATACTATATATTATTCAAGAATATGTTACATAAATTATCAACAATATAATATACTCATTTTTTATAGCTACGTACCCGAGGGCAACATGACTGCTTGCGGAACCGACTACTTGTCCAAAGACCTGCTCTCCAGATCGTATATCCTGGTTTACAGCATATTTTGTTATTTCTTGCCGCTGTTCCTCATCATTTATAGTTACTTCTTCATCATCCAGGCCGTCGCTGCACACGAGAAGAACATGCGCGAACAAGCAAAAAAGATGAACGTCGCTTCCTTGCGATCGGCCGAGAATCAGAGCACCAGCGCCGAATGCAAACTGGCAAAGGCAAGATTCTCTCTCCTTATACTCAATCCTTAATTCTCATTTATGTGCGATCGCTTTAACGACATTAAATAATAATACACTAATAATTATAGGTAGCTCTGATGACCATTTCCCTGTGGTTCATGGCGTGGACTCCATACCTGGTTATTAATTATGCAGGTATCTTCGAGACAGTCAAGATCAGCCCGCTTTTCACGATTTGGGGTTCTCTCTTTGCGAAAGCCAATGCCGTGTACAATCCCATCGTATACGGCATCAGGTAAGTCGACGTGATTCTAATCCTTGAAATATATAATAGTATGGTCAAGATGTTTTTAAAAATAAAGAGACAATGCGAGAAATTAGATAAATTATTCCGTACTTTTACGCTAATCCTTTCTCTATGTGATTTTAGCCATCCCAAGTACCGAGCTGCTCTCTTCCAGAGGTTCCCGTCTTTGGCATGTTCCTCTCAACCAACTGGTGCGGATACAATGTCCACGACTACTACAGTTACAGAAGGGAATGAAAAATCTGCCGCATAAAATAACGATGCTATTAATTTTTCTTTTTTTTTGACAATGCAATAGATTTTCACTGAATCGGCGTAAGGCCATGAGAAATAGTATTATATTCTCGTCACAAAGGAATCGCGCCACATCAAACGTGAATTGTAAATAGCTGCAATAAATAATATAATGTGCGTCAGAAATACTGTTGTGTGATCGGAGAGAATGAATTTAATACTATGTCACACATAAGAAAATCGTCATACGATTAACTGTGGTTCGAACGAGTAATCATCTACGCGGAGCCAAGACGGAGTATGTTTTTAAATTTCGGCGTGAAAAATTGAAAAAAAAAAAAAAAAAAAAAAAAAAAAAATGAACATCAGGAAAATCGAGGGCTAAATAAGCCAAACTGTTAGAGTCTATGATATATTATACGGTTCGGCTACACCATGATGCGAATTTCTTATGTCTCATAGCGAAATTTGTAAGTTTTGTCATCTCTTCAATGCAAAAAATGAAATACATAGTCATTTTGGAATTAGCGAACATATCGGCTGTATCGCTAAAAATGTTATATCGCCATGAGATATATATCGTAACTGTAATTAATTTTATAGAATAAATTCTGCAGGGGCAATCATATATATATGACAATTTTAATTAAACATTTCAAAAATTTTGAAAATCCTGAACACAAATCCTATGATACTTATTTTTGTTTAACATTCAGTATTTTTTATTGTCTTAAGATCACAATAAAGAATCTTCTCAGCTCATTACATGCCAAATAATTTATTGAATGACATTCGTTTGCACTAGTATAGTGGGCAATAAGTATCTCCTATCACTCTTATTCTTGTAAAAAGGAAAAAAATAAAGAGAAATTCAAAATGAAAATTCATCTTGTGTACAATATATCATAAAGTATAACAGAATCCACTCGAAATTCCGTATAAGCTTTTGCATAATCAGGTAATTATAACAGCTATATTGAGGCTTTACAAATTACAAATTTTCTTCATTTCTCTTAGAAACATTTATCACACAATGTATTTAATATTATTGATACGTCGACTTGTCCGAGAAAAATATCCTCTATAACTCTATATTATATCATAATATTTAGAATTAGAGATACAGTTCATCGCACGAAACTACGCTGTTGTCGTTGTAGATACTGTTTCCGCGACTTTCGCAGATGGATCCTCAGTCGAGCCACATACGCAGAATGGTAATTTTTCCTTTAATGCTGCTCTATACTTTGGATGACTGCATAACGCGTAAAATAAAGTAAATGTATAAGCATTAATTGCATGTTTCCTATTTATAAACATAATAACTCTTTTTTTTACCTAATTCCATAAACAATCGGATTATATATAGCGTTCGCCTTTGCAAAGAGAGATCCCCAAATGGTGCAAAGAGGACTAATACTAGCACCATCAAAAATACCTGTGTAATTAATAACCAGATACGGTGTCCATGCCAAAAACCACAAAGAAATGGTCATCAGAGCCACCTGCAATTAATAAAAATGTAATAAATATCAATTCTGATTTTTTTTTTCCCCATAATACTCGATATAATTTTAATGTATTCTTTTGTCATACTTTTGCCAACTTTGCTTCTGCACTGACATTTTGATTATCCCCAGATCTCAAAGATTGAACATTCATTTTCTTTGCCTGTGCCCTCATGGACTTTTCATGAGCAGCTACCGCCTGTCGATTTCAAGATATATTTACAGACATTAAATCTTTCTTGAGAGATTGCAATCTACATACAGATATGTGCTTACCGAAACGATAAAGTAATAGCTGTAAATTATAGTAACGAGCGGCGTGTAATATACAAATATCGAATATACCAGAATATATGACTTAGAGCTCCAATCTTTGGTAAGGTAATCGGTACCGCAGGCAGTCATGTTGCCTTCTGGTACATATCTAATTGTCACGGCAAAAAAAAATTTGTTTCGTGTACAAGCGCGCTATATTCCTTTTTGTTCTTATTATAATATTACCTGTTCCATCCCAACATTGGCATAATTGTCCATAATGCAGCAAAGAGCCAAATAAACAAAATTTCAAGTATCACTTTCTTTATAGTGAGCGGTTTTCCTGCCACACCCTGAAATATTTTATATTAGAGTTTCCACACTCCTGTATACATTTACTGTATCAATATAAAAAGAGAAACATATTATACGTACCTTCACTATAACATTATATCGATCAAGAGCAATAGCAGTCATAGTCCATATCGAGGCACATCCGCATAAAGAACCAACCATAGCATATATGTCGCACATTAGTGGTCCTTGATAATGTAAAATAAATTTATATATTAAAGTTATATCAAATTTTATATAAAAAAAACACAACGTTAATATAATGAAAAATGCCAATAAACATATTTTCTATTACCTAATACCCAGGTTTCATAGTAGCAGTTGACTACCATAGGAGGCGACATAATTATCATCATGATGAAATCGGAGAAAGCCAGATTTACCACTAGAAAATTGCTCGGCGTTCTTAGAGAGGGTGTCATCAGAAACACGTACACTACAACACCATTTCCAATCCATCCCATAAGTCCTAGTACAATCATCACCAGGCCCAGAATCTTGTGCCATATTGGATCCATTGGTGGAAATTGGTGCCTGCATAATAATTTAAACATTTCGATTAGTCTCTCTGTCTTTGCAAAAAAGAACGATATAAGAATATGAAACATTCAAAAGTAACCAATGCGGATCGACCAAATGCAGCATGTCCTGAGGTACTTTATCCACAACAGTGTGATTGTTGAAACCAATGATTTGTCGCATCGCGTGGGGTCCGTGTGTCGTTGTTAACACATCAGTAAATGTAATGGAAAATTCAGGTAAAATAATCGAAGTTTGATTTTTGGCACCTACTGTAATGAGGGACTGCATTTTCTGTAAAAGATGATTGAAAAATAATTAATAACAATTAAAAGAGTATGATGCATAAAGAAAAGCAGTACATACCTTTTAACACTGAAATTTTTCAAAATACAACCAATCCTATTAGATCTCCTGAATTTGAGGCGATTGAAAACTTCAATTTGTAAAACATCAATACTCTGCGATAAGAAGTAGCCTATATAATGATACTGTATCACATTGATAAACAGTACGAGTGCGAGAAAAGCGCAGTTTTTTCTTATATACCTTTCTTCTCTCAATATAGAGATCTAATAAAATTATCCAATTATATATGCAGATGCACTCAACTATAAGTTCTCGTGGACTGTAATAGTATAATGTATGCATGTGTCACACATGTATGATTACTGTCAGTTATTATTTAGAATAATCTGACTGAAATAAAACTTGACGAATGCTGATGGTAAATGTGATTTAGATAATTGAATTAAATGTATATAATACCTTTCTTATAAATTAAGATTTCTATATTTAATCCCCTAAATACACATTTTCACATGTTTATATATTATATTATGTATTTATTGCATCAAATGTAATTATACAAATCACAGGAAGTCTCATTTTACTGCCCTTGAAACCCTCCGGATATGTAAACTACGACTTTCTTGTAGCGCTTCCTCTAATTCTTGAGTTATATGAAGCAAATTAATAGGATCTGTTTGTAGCAAAACGTGTTCAATCTCGTCCGAATTGTCGGGATTTTTCAGTGATAAATCTAGAGTGATGAGTGGCGCAACTTGTTTCAAGAGAGATCTTGATGCAGTCTATAATACAGATATAATGCAATTTAATTATAAGTTAATATGAGAAAGAAAAAAGCAAAATATAGAAGTTTTATTACCTGCACTTCAAATCTCCATTCCATGTCATAATATTCGGGCAATTTAAATCCAATCTTTTCTAAGGCATTCAAGATCTTATCTTTTTTAACGCTGTATAATTTACTAAGTATTGCCTCCTTCTCCTCCGTGAAACCTAAAGCGATCACAGAATCCCGAAAATCCTCCGGGTTTAACTGTAAAAACTTCAATTATACTACGCAATGCTGTACTTATAATGCAGTACTACTGACAGATTTTACCTTGTGTTTGCAGCTTTCTAGCAAGAGATTGACTAAACCTTCCACTGAATTCTTGATTGCGTTCAATTCGACATTTAACTTCTCTGAAATGAGTATACACTTGTATAATTGCGTATATTGTTCTGACAATTAGCGACAATTAAACAACTTACGAGCGGCAGCCTTGTACACCTTAACATTCGGTCCCTTTTGTAAATAATCTAGAGCTAATTTGCAAAAGTCCTGCAATACTGTAAAAAATACATTTTTATCTTAGAAAACCCTATTGTAAAAAGTTTTCATTTTCATTAACACATAAATAGAATTCCCTTGTATACCTGGCGGCGATTGTTCGGTAAGAAACAATACATGTTTCTTGTGATCTGGCTTCAATGTTAATAGCATTTTTCTCTTACGTGTTTCTCACTAATTAAAAACTTAGATCAAAACAAATATCAATTAAAATGAGTATTTATGACAATTCTCGAATTGCTTTCAAGACGGGCGGCACTTTTACGCCGCCATGTTAAAAAGTACATTTGACGTTATTTGGCGGGTTATTTCAACGTTATCAATACATATATAAGATAATATATCTTAGTTTCAACTTTACAAGTTGCAATTAATTTTAAATAATTTTTTACATAAAGTTTAACAAAATATGAAAATTATATAATTGTCAATATATCCTAAAATAATCAATTGTCAATATATCATAAAATAATCAATTATCTTATTAAAGTCAATACAAGGATGCATGATTTTAAAGAAAAAGTGTTATGCAGAGTTTATATATACTTTTTAATTTACATAAATTGTGATTAAACGCTCATAATATAAAAGACTTGCATCAACAATTGTCCTGTAGAAGCACAAATGAACAAAATGAGAAACATACCACTATCATATAGCGATTTTGCTAATACATAACAATATTATTTAAATGCTTATCATTACATATTAATTATACAACTGATAAGTCTGCAAAGCTGGTATTTGTATGATATTATTTTGGTTGGTTTATCGAAGATTTAATTTGAGCTTGCTGGAACGCACGTTGTAATTTGTCTATTATATCTTTTTGCGTGTCCAGTTTCTTGTCTAAGGTAGACATCAACCCATCCACTCGGTTCCTGAAAAATTCATCTTTATAAATAAACCTGGTCAAATGCAAAAATTTAATTCTGATCGATAAAACTTACAATTCAGCTTTAATATAATCGATACGCTTGTCAACATTCTGTTTAGCTTCGTACAGATCTTGTTTCACAAGCACAGGCCCTATTAGTTTGAACACGTCGTTTTCTTCCTTTAGGAGCTCTAATTCTTCCTTTACCATAATGTTCTCGTTCAACTGTCCATCCAATTGTCGCCTTTGATTCAGCACTTTGTTGTACTCTGCAAATGCAAATTGATATGTATAAAAATAATATAATAAAGGCAAAATAGCCTATGAAACTTTTTTAAAAAAATCAAACATTTCTTTACCTTTATGAATCTGTCTTAATGTGTCAGCTTCAGTCTGAAGCTTCTTTTGCATTTCCTCCATTATAAATTATTTGGATGTTGTGAGAGAAGACTTCTCTCTGTTACAAACCTTGTGTGTGTGTGCGCTTAATCTCGCAACAAAACATAACCAAATTAGTACCCGATCCTTCGATTCTACGTCTCGCAATTTCATCAATCGATATATTTCGATAGATTATCGCAGGCAGAGAAAACATACATATTCATTCGGCATCAGTGTATACAAGGTGTCGCAAATTAAATTAACTGATAATTCTAAAACAATGAATCCTGAATATATAGATGACGCATGCATGCTAGAGAAAAATACGACGCGGAAAGAACGAAATGTAGATACATTCATTAGTTGTGTTGTATATACATACAAAGTCAATATTAATAAACAAATATATTTTTAAAAGTTAAATGTTAAAAAGATAATTTTAATATAATTACATATTAATATTTATTACAGTTCTTATATACATCCAGTTATGATAGTAATCGAAAATCAACACAAATTTTTTTTCTTATATATGCGTCATGTACTTCGTGCAACCGAATATATGGCTCTCTGCGCGTTTATGTATTATAATATGATGTAAGTATTATTTATATACAAAGATAATGAAAGAAAAACTACTGAAATCAATAAAATAATTAAACTAATTAGTAAATGGAGAAAAGTTGATAAGGAATGCATATAAGAAAAGGCGAAAAGAAAACTCACAGGGATTTTCATTGCGCATTATCGTATATTTTTCGATTACCTTATACTGAATTAAATTTTATAATTATAATTTTATTATCTCATTCTCTCTCTCTCGTTCTCTTGTATTATATGTGACGTTTCTTCGTTATGCACTTTTAAATCGGCAGATATATATATTTAATATCACCTGTCGGGAATAACTTTCGTTCAACGTATAATTCGCATCATATGTACATCGTGGTACATCAAACGTTTCTCGTATCGTTCATCGTATATCGTGTCTTAATATTTCGCTTGGTTCTTCTTTTCTATCTCACTTTACATTCGTAAATAAAATACACTGTTGCGTTGTTGATTTTTTCAGACAGTTGTCTTTGTAGTTTTCCTCTCGTTAACATCGATACAACATATCGATAGCTTTATCGATATCACAGAGATATCGCAATTATTTTTCAGTTAGGATAGAATAATTTTTTCTTATATAATCTGTATGACCTGGGTATTTAATCGATTCAAGATTCACGATATAAATGAAAATATCCCATTAAAATAATTATCAAAACTAAGTTTTAGCAGATCTTTTCTTCTTTTTTTTAATAGCGAATCCGCTTTAAAAAAAAAAAAAGAAAGGCCCCAATGTGTGACGTACTCATGGAAAAGTTATGTGCAAAGATAATAAAATTGCATGCTTGTGTTTTTACTGTAACATGACATTAATCATTATATCATAAAAGGATTCTGGTTTTTTTAAACCATTGGACAAGCATATATCAATCATATTTTAATATGATAGATTGAATCAATATTATAAAATAGCAAAAAATATGTATAGTATAACGTATAGTATCTAGAGTCAATTTTTTTCTATTTTAAGAATTTTTTTTCCAAATCAGTCCTTTTCCTCTCAATTGGGATTTTCTTCCGCTGCTATTTTATTCTTCTCACATGTACCACATAACCACGTTAGAATGAGAAAATGAACAAACAGAATATTTTCATTCTACATATGTGTCTTGCCTTATGAGAATAATGGAACACAGATTAAGGAATAATCTCAAAATCAAGAAAACGCGCATACGCGGCGTGCGGTTTCTTCAATCATCTTAAAATAGAAAAAGTCTATTGTATTAGATAGTGATACAAATATAATAATTTTTTTTAATACAACACTAGAGAGCTTTTAAATATAAAACAATAAAGTTTTTAGTTTAAAACATGTTTTTCTAATCATGACAGATACCAAATTAAATAATAAAAATTTTATTATATTTGTATTTTTTCTAATTATTTTTTTCTCAATCTTTGTAAACATAGAATATATCGTTTTTCTATTTTAATATGTTGCAAAGTAAATATCTCGATAATGAAAATTCAGAAAAAGGAAATATGCAGTTGCAAAATATTGTGATCATTCCTCAATTTCTTAATCGTCATTCATTCATTTAATTCCTCAGATCCTACATGAAATTTTCTTATAATGAATATAAAGTCAGAAACTTTGAAATATGATAAATTGTTCCTTTAACTCAGATAATAATGATGATATCGTGAAAGAAATGTATATTGACATATAATCTTTGCTTACATTGTGGGAGTACGCATTAACTCATATTATTCTGATATTTTATTCGAGTAAATACTCGCACAAATAAATGATTTAAAATAAAACGTTGAGATATAGAAGAGTGTTAGGAAAACGTACATTATCGACTGTCGCTTTTTTTCTTTCATTTGCTGGATTTGATCTTGTCACGTCCGGAAACATTACGACGCCTCGAGTCATTCGCCTCACATAAGACTTATAGGTCTGCAATATAGACGCTCTGTATATCTCGCACTACGGCGCTATTATAAAGGAACTTTCTTTTAGTTTGCACAGAGCTTGATCGCGATCAACTTACTTTCGATTTCTGATCCCGCAGAGATGAGTTTAGTGTGTGGTTGTGCGGTCGCGCTCGGCTGTGGATTATTCAACTGTCCTGTGGTCGTAGGTGCTGCAAAACCAGGAGGTGGTTGCATCGCCCAATGCTGAGCAGATGCATTCTGTTCCTGCGCGTGATGCAAATTTTTTTTTTATATTTATAATGACTAGCACACTCAATATTCGCAATTACGATAGATAATAAATTCGAATTGCCAAGACATATTTAAACACACAAAATTCTGTACCTGTTGCGCATTATGAGCTACAGTGTGAGAGGGATGAATATGGGGAAACTGCCATGTGCTGGTAGTTTGGAATGGAAGAGGTCTAGACGAGGTAACTATAGCCGGATCGATCGAAGTCCAGTCTGCGATAGGTCCGAAATTATTCCATCCCTTCTGATGCAAAGCTTGATGGTGAAATTGCTGCTGTTGCTGCTGATTATTAATTTCACACCAATCTTTCAGAGTATAGACCGCATCACTTGTGCACTTGCCGATATCTGTCATAAATCGATCGAGTATTAAGAATATGACATACATACGAAAAATATTTTTGAAATACTTGGAATATTAAAAGATGTAAGTATTATTACTTTGTGTGTTGAGAAGTGGGCTTCCATTGGGAAGATATGCACTCTGTTGGGGCGGTTGCGCACCTGCAAACATAACCCATAAATCACGGATAGCGACACTCCATCAATCTTAATCTATAGATATAATTGACACTTGTCGTGACTCACTTTACCCAAATAAATTCGTGTATAAATTTTCGCAAAATTATATCATGAAAATTCGCGGATAGATCGACAACTTATCTTTGTCTACGGTTACGATAAATTATCGTATACGTATGTAAACTTCACGCACTGTGCACTATGATTCCTGATGCCTGGAAAAATTGGAGAAACACTAACCAGAGAGGGCGCTATTCGTTGGTGCTGGACGTGGTATACCGAGACCAAATGAATTCATGTGATTTGGCGTGGAACCAAGGAAACCCGGTGGCGGAAGGCGACTACGTTGTCCTAAACTGTTAGCCGTCACGGTGCCTTGTGCAGGGCTCTGCGCGCCGCTTTGTAGTAGATTTTGTGGAAGACGAGACAGAAGGGAATGCGATTGAAGCACTTGAAGATTTTGCAAGTGCTGAGCTTGTTGCTGCAAGTGTGCTATATGCGCAACCTAAAAGAATATTTGTTTCCATAAATTTTATTTGTATGCATATTATGCAAAATACTAAATTAATACTAATAGTGTATCAGACATTCTTTTAAAATATTTAACCAAATGTTACCACATAATGTATTTTATTAATAATACTGTTAGAAAATGAGAAGCTCCTATCCACATGTAATTTTCAAAACACATAAGAATATATTAAACAAGATATTTACTTGTGGAAAATGTTGCTGGCCAAGGCTTGCGAGAGTTTGTTGATGATGCACCCTAGTTTGCTCCTCTCGTTCTCTTTGTTGTTGCTGCTGTTGATATATCCTCTGTTGTTGTATCTGCATTTCATTTTCCATAAGTTCAGCTAATGCCTTCTGCGTCTCGTGGAAAGGATCGAAACCTAAATCATCGTCCGCTTTCACGTCTGACCCTGCATCACGATGATTTCGAACTTCCTCCAGTGTAGCATGGCCATTCTGTTTTATGTATTCACAATTTTCTTGATTCTGTTGCACCTTAGAAATTGTACATATGATATTAATAATCTGCTGAATCATATTTCTCTTTGCTAAAAAATTTTGCATATGTAAAAGACATCTCGTGTTATTTTTTAGACATGTAATTCGAAAATTTTATCATTATCTTACTCACTTGCATATTAAGCCTTTGTTGTAATGAATTTTGTTGAAAGTCTGCCATAAATTTAGACGCGGGTGAATTTACAAGTAAAGTAGGCGTGAAGGTATCTGATGATGACTCTGTGAGAGTAGTAGTGTACGGTGCATTTATGTAAACATTCTCATCAACAAAACCCTCGGAATTGAATGTTACATTCGGCGATTCAGATGGGCTGGATTTTGATATAAGATGATTCGTTCGAGTTGATTCGGTCTGAAAGCCGAAAGCTGCTTGCCAATCTTCGCTAGAATGAACTGTAGGTAAAGAGTCGGGTATCGAAGCCACTCCCGTACTCGTCCAATCCAGATTTGTGTTTGCTACACATCGAATAAAATTCATTGATAATTCTCTCGCCAGTTACAATATTGTATAAAAATGTGCAGGATAAGAGTGACTAGATTAATTCTAAAATTCCCTACTCCTCAATAATGTTTTTCTTGAAAATAAAACATTGTCCCTTTTAATATTTTTGTCTATTCAAATATCAAAAAATTATAATAATTACAACTGTATTTAATATAGCAAAGTACATTCTGTATAACAAAAAATAACTTGTGTTAGTATACATACCTGTGAGAGAATTAGGTGGCATTAAAGTGGTGGTTGATATTTTCTGAAAGGTGTTTGAACTGAAGAAACTGTTATTGTCCGGCTGAAAGATTGACCGATGGTTGAGTTGCATTTGAGATCCGTTGTGTAATCCTGGTGGTGGTGGTTGGTTGGCACCTTGTGATGAATTTGTGCTAGCTGGAGACGAACCTACAGATGATGCGCAAAAATCTCTACACTACACGAC